TAAGAAAAATTAACTGTTTTAAAATATATTTTATCGTTTAAAATAATAGACTCGCTAAAGTTAAGTTCAAATTGGTTACTACAATAACATCAATACCACTAGCGAATTAAGTACTCAACATGATTAGATCAGAGATAATATAAATTGAACATTGTCAGCTCATAATACATCTATAAAATAGTGATATTGTACGTTTTAAATGAAGTTCGAACTCTTAATTTTTAAACAAAAGACAATAATAATGACTATTAGACCAATTTATTGTTTGGTAGTAAAGTTTTTACTTTTTCATAAACCTTTTGAACTTGTAATGATATATATATATATATTAGAGTTTATGGGCTTAAGTACAAATTACCAATCATAAATACATATTCAATCATATATACTCATAATTCGAAACCAGCCCACATAGCCACAATAACACTACTAGGAACAAGATGTGCACGAGTGAACATAATTGATCTCACCCATTTTGTAAGGTCAAATTTTTTTGTGCTTTTCCATTTTTGCTTTTTAACTTTTAATTATTTGGGTAAATTTCTAATACAAATTAATGTTTTTTAAAAAAAATTTAAAACAACCAATGTGTTATTTTTATAAATAAATTTACGGAATTTTTGTTCTTCAAAATGACTTGTTATCTGTCAATTATCTGCTCAATTTACGACAAAGTAAGAACGTTCTTATTCACAATCGTTTATTCTGACATCATTTATAATTCTTCAAGTAATATGATATTTTATATCGAGTAAAATTTTAATCATTTTATCTCGTATTAAAATTACACAACGGATAATTTCAATTTAAATTTTAAATTAAGAAGTGGAAATTTTATATAAAATATGAATTTTTAAATAAATATTAAATTTATTTGAGCCCTTTTGGAGAAAGGACTTAAGAAATTGCTTCGGACTTAATAATGAAACTAAACTATAAATAAAATAAAATTTTAATGTTTATAAATTAATTTCTTTATTTAAAAAGAAATGCAATGGTTTCGGCCAAGAAGATATATATTTTTTCAATTATAAATATTGTTAATTAAATATATATATATATATATTTTAATGAGACAATATTAATTAAATATAATGAATAAAAGGATATAACTGAGTCAAAGAAGCCACTGTTTTACCTGACTGATTTATGGTGTGACCATTTTGCAGACCACCACTTGACGAATTAAATGCCAGAGATATAAGGAATTAATTCTCTCTCTCTCTCTTTTTTTAAATGGAAAACAAATATATATATATGTGTGTGTGTGTGTGTGTGAGTGTGTGTATTCATACCTCATATTACATGTACGTATAACTATATCTTAAATAATAAATTTAGTATTTTTTATTAATTCAATGACATGTGAATTTTAGTTAATTAGAGGAGTTGAATTTATAATATTTTGAACTAAATTATAGTTTCAGATTTCACAATTTGGTACATTCCATTTTTTTTCTTCAGAAATTCAGTATTTATAATGTATTTTTTTATCATTCTTTTAATTTGTTTAACTTTAAATTTTCACCTTATAAATTATTATAATTACAAATATATGGGGATCTCTTAAAAAAAATTAACGATTATATGTCAAAAGAATAAACTATAGAGCTACATATATTGAATTCACACAAAAAAATTCATCATAAAATACTAAATTATAATTAATTACTTTATTTATATACGTTTGAATCGAAGTATTTTATGCAATAATTAAAAGTCCTTTCAACCAAAACTCAAGATGGATCTAATAATTAAGAGTATGATACCATCTTTAAACTCTAAATTTACTAAAACACATCTAATATTAATATTAACCTTGATATTTCAATATAATCTCATAAACTGAGCGTTGTTTCGAAACCTCATATTTACATAAATAAACTTCATATTAATATTAACCATTTGAGATAAAATAGTTAACTCATATAACAAAAAAGTTAAATGTACCGGATCATAACACATTCAATAAGCAAATCATCTTTTTAGATTTAGATTTTAACAATCATATTTAATTAATCAGATAATGTTCTAAATCAACAGAAATCACAAAGTATTAATTCGTGATCTGATATAATCTAATACAGTTTGTCGATTAGTTGCCAATTTCAAATAAAAATACTATATGAAAATATGAAGAATCCCAATGTAACTAGTCCGCAATTTAATATATTTTGTCTGTTTTCGCCGATTTACTTATTTTTTCTCTCAAAATTTTGACTCAAGTACCGAAACCGTCAAACTGCCATATACTGCCGACCTTATTTTTCGAATGTTTCCGTTTTTTCACGTGTCGTATCAGTTACACTCGAAATTTCTGTTTTTTGACATCAGACTATTTGATGGTTTTGACCCACAGAATTGAACGTTCTAGAAAAAAAAAAATTGATACGTCCACTATGATATTCTATAATTATTAATTTATAATTAAATAAAAATATAAAAAAATATCATTATAATCATAACAAATAAAAAGAGCAAAAAAAAAAAAACCCTAAGTATATATTTTAAAGAAAACAGAAATCATCGAAAAGATGCCATGCATGCAACGTATATATTTTGATTAGAAAATTGAAAAAAAATAATAACAATTTTTTTTTATGATGTGGGCACATCTTTGTTATAGTTTAAAAGTGCTCAAAAATCAAGGCAAAGGACATCTGATACGCATCGTTTTGGCTGAATCACGTGTCCGGGACCATGCAAAACACCTAAAACACGCGTTGAAATTCACGGCATCTTTCGCAGCCGCACCCTGTGGAATTACAATTTTACCCTCTTCGTTGCATTTTGGGAGTTTGATATTTTTATTTAGCAACTTAATTCAAGAGTTTAGGTTTAATTACTTTAATAAGAAATAAAAACCCATTTAAACCCAAAAAAGATCAAATCCTAATGAAAACCGTTTTTACCTCAACATTTACTTAATTTAAAGATTTGCATCCTTAAATAAGACACAAGACACAGAGATGTTACTTGTTTATTTCCTCTTTGTACTAATTTACAGCAATGGGATTTTAATACTAAGTGTTAAGTTACTTATTTACTCTTCTCTCTCTCTCTCTATCTTTTTATATTTTGAAATGGTAAAAATTCACACCCTTTTCACCTTTGCTTTAAAAAAGAGAGATTCTGCCCAAAAAAAAAAATCTGAACAAAAAATGGGTACCCCTAAAAAAAAAATATTTAGATGTTAAAAATTATGAATTTATCATAAATAGAGGAAAATCAGTCTTCTTAAGGGCAATTAAAATGAATATTATATTGTACAAAAGTATTTTACATATGCTAAAAGTAGAAAAAAAGTATGAGATAAATTTATGGTAATTCTACGAACTGGATTAATGATTAAGTTTACAAAGTACAATAAAAATCTGGACCACTTGATTGATGATTAAAATAATAATTACTATAGAAAGATGGTAATCCGGACAGCTTGTTTTGTTTTTACTCTGAAGTTTTACCGCACAGAAGGAAAAATATATATATATAAAAGGCTGCCTTAAGCTTAATTAAGTTACTAATTAAGAGATAATCTGGGGGGGGGGGGGGGGTGCTCAGCGAGTAAAATAATAAAAAGGGAGTGCCCAAGCTGGTGTTTTTTTTTTTAATTATTATTAATATATAAATAAACTAATATTAGTCTATTCTCTGTGTTTGCTTCCTTTTCATTTCTCTTCTCTCTCTCTCTCTCTCTCTCTCTCCATATAGATATATATATTTGTGTGCATATGTCTCTCTCCTCTGATTTGCCTTGGAGCTGAGTTTTTCCGGCATTGACTCGGTTGAGAAAGCAAAGCTCACTCGGTAGGAGATCGGTGAACTTACCTGCACAAGTGAATTTTTTTGGGTACCATTTTTATTTGTTTTTTAAAGCTTAATTCATGCATTTCATATATAAAAGCTGTTACATTTTGCCTTCATATCGGGTGAAGATTCTGTGGAGATTTTTACTATGTTCTCCGATTGAATTTTTCCCACAATCCCAGCCATTATAAACGGGGATTAATTGATTGAAAATTCACTCAGATTTGCAGGCTTTATCTTCTTCATTTACAGGTATATTTGGTTTTGTTTTTTGATAAAATGAGTCTTTTCTCTCCTATGCTTGCATTTGTGTTAAACCATGTTTTAAGTGCTCCATGAAGCGAACAGATTTATGGCTGGCTTGGCAGCTATCGAGGAATATGGATTTGCGGCATATAACATGTGTTGTTCTTTAAAAAAATTTCTACCTGGGCCAACGCTTTTTTCTCCGAACTGTTCACCTGCGTTTGGCATGTTAGGTGGGAAACTAGGTTGATAATATTATTTGGTTATGCAGGTTGGGACTCAGCAATGGGGTAACGGGAGAAGGAGACTTGCTAGAACTACAGAATTTTTTCTCTTCTTGAAAATTCAGCAACTAAAAGAGAATTGGAGTTTCAAGAAGAGGAAAGAAACTCAAGGAATAAATCAAATTAATCATGTTACCTCGAGGTGGCATGAATTCAAGGATGAATTTGGGAAGTGGGTCAATGCCGCAAGAGAATGAGCTTCAGTTTCCGGGAAACTGGATGCCAACGCCACCGCTGAAACCAGTACTAGCAATATCCAATCCAACCCCTGTTTATGGACATGGCAACCACATGGCAGCGACAAACTGGCAAGAACTGCCTGCATTCCCCAGTGGGTATGCACTGGGGACACACAATTACAATGGAGCAGTGCAAAATCTTAACATGGTTGATCAAGCAAGCAGAACAGAAAGTTATTACCATGCTGGCACAGGATTGGGTGACAGAATCGGATTGGTCAATCAATTAAATGGTATCTGTAATGAAAGTATAGGCTGGAATGATCATCTTGTTTACAATTTTTTGGCACCAAACAATGCAGCTCCTGCTGCTATCTCTATCAACAGAAACCCGAGCGGAAATACAGGCATGGCAAGTACATCTCTGACAAGGAACCTTGATCCTCAAGCAACCAACTGGAGTCAATTGCATCCCAACCAGGGCCAGTGCTCCTTTTTAAGCCTAGTGAGCAATGATGACAGCTTACAGCATACACAACCACCCCAATGTAAGTAGTTATATAAATATAAATCCTTTTTTGTGCTAGTTTATGCAACTAAAACTTGTTATACTTGATTCGACCTACCTTCTTCCCATCCGATACAGCTATAAGATGAATGGCATGTCATATACTTTCGCATTACATTCTGCATATAGAGCACAAATTTATATCAGTAGTCATTGGTTAGTCATAGTATCACTTCAAAGAAAATTTTGATGACATGTAGAAATTCAAATAGCAAAAGCAAACAAGAAATCATTAACAAACAAAACAATTTAATTTCAAGATTGAAGGGAATTAATGAGAAATGCACTTCTACTATAACTTCTGTAGTGAATTTTATAAGAAAAATCCGCTAAAGTTATTTACGTTTGATAGTAGCACTGAACCTCCAGAGTCCCGGCCCAAAAAATTAAAGTTCTTCATTGGGAATAATAAAAATTCAGAACATGTTCAGTTCCCAGAAAATGAGCAAGGGTATTAAAAAGGAAAAAAGGAAAAAAGAAAAAGAAAATTAGCAAAGACAGTGTCCTCTGGTGATTCATAAATGGCAGGCGAGGCATGGGGTGAGTTTCTTCAAATGGCTTTGCCACTCTCATTTCAATTGCAACGTCAAATTAATTTCTTAATAGAGCTGGAAAACATGAGCTTTGATATATGTAGATATGGTAATTTTGAGAATAATTTAGCTACAGAATTGTGACTGTTTCTATCATTGCTGTATCTCATATGTGTTTCTAATAAAAGCTTCTCATTTTACAGATGGATGTCCTGTACTTTATCGACCCCTTTACAATCTGAACTCACCACCAAGACCAGAAGCTGATGCATTCTCAAGCATAGGCAATTCAATCCAATTCATACCAGAAACACCAGACCAGATAAAGAAATTAGAGAACCAACAGCTGTTGGCAGCATTGAATTTCTCAACCGATGATGGCTCTAACCGGGAAAAAGAAAACCAGCAGAACTTAGTCACCAGCATAGGGAATGAAGCTACCCACCATCAGTGCGATGAACTCTTGCAGAACATTTTAGAATCATCTGTTGTCAATTCTACCATGCTACAGGAACAAAACAACTCTGAGAAGGAAGTTGATCCAGTTGAGCTAAACAAGACACCACAGCAAAAGCCACCCAAAAGCAGAAAACACAGGCCCAAAGTAGTTGTAGAAGGCAAACCCAAAAGGACACCAAAATCTGCAACTCCAAGAAATACAAAGTCCAAAGAGAACCCAACTGGAAAAAGGAAGTACGTACGCAAGAAGGGCTTGAAGGAATCAGCACCTCAACAGACAGATGTTTTGAGAGAGACAACAGATCCTAGTGCTGGAAACAGTACCAGATCTTGCAAAAGAACATTGAATTTTGACCCAGAGAAGAGAGATGAAGAACAAGACCAAATTGAAATTCAACTGGAGATGCAACAAAAGAAGAGGCCTTTTAATTTGAATTCAGAATTTCATGAAACAGAATTTTTTTCAGGGACAACAAATGGATGCAAAAAAATGTCAGCAGTGCAGGTAGGCCAACTGAATGGTTTGCCGGTAGAAAATCATGTATCTCAAACCATAAGTAGATATACATCTTCCTTGCAGCATGTAACAACTGACCGTGTGTCATGGTCAGAGAAAACAGTTGAATCCTCACAAGCTCCACCAGAGAACTTGCAGCAGGAACTCCTGAACAACCTTACCCGAAATTTAACTGCAGGAAATGTCAATTCATGCCAAAACAGTAGTAAAATTCAAAATGGTCCAATACAGCAAAATATCTACCCAGAAAGAGTAGTCCACAGGGACTTTCAAGTGAGAAACAACCAGGAAAAGCTTGATAGAATGGGGCAACCCTCTCAGTATATCTCTTATCCAACATCAACAGTTCCATCCAACAGTACTGGTACTAGAGGATCCAAGAGAGAATATCATGCTACTGAGCATATGCATGGATGTACCTTAAATAGGGGATCATCATCGTGCCAACAGATAATTCAGACGAATGAATGCAACAGAACCAGCAGCAATCATAGTACAGATCGCCCAGAATCTCAGAAGAAAAAGAAAATTGAGAATGGACTCCATAAAAACACATGGGATATGCTTTCTCATACTGCAGTAGTTGAAGATAGCTCAAGGCAAGCCGTAAAAAACAGTGTTATTGCATCACCAGGAAACCATGGAACATATACCCCCCACAAGAGCGTTGATTCCAACAGAGGAAATTTTGAGTTCAGTGTATCCACTCAGGACCCATATGCTCACTCTAAGCCCTATCTGCGTGATTGGGTGAAGCAACCTATATCATCTGAACCACATGCAGGCACGGAAAGAATTCGAGAGACCAACGGATTACGTCAAGTTCACAGCCTTCCCAGTAATGAGAAATGCAACCTTATTCCACCCACTCCCCCAAGAAAGGCTCCTGCGCCTATAGATAGGCAGCTAGATTGTGTTGGCCCGACTGAAAAGCAAAGTTTGGGATCCACTGTGTCAAACTCAGTGCCACTTGAAAATTCCAGGCTGCAAGGAGGTCAGAACGAACCACTGCATGATTATCAGAAGAACTCAGGAAAGACAGAAGGTACTGTACATATTAGTTTAGAACATGTTAACCTCTTATAAATTATAACCATCTTATCAAGCTAATCTTCAACAAATTCAATCACCACATTTTTCATCAAATTGTCTTGGTATTTAATGTAGGGCCATCAGAAAAAGAGGAATTCTCAGTTATGATGGAGAAGATCATAAATGGACTTAAACATCTCAATCTTAATGATGACAGAGGCAAACAAATAATGGGGCAAGAGCAAAATGCACTTGTTCTGTACAAAGCAGATGGTTCAGTTGTTCCATATGTAGGGTCTGACTTTATAAAGAAACGTAAACAACGGCCTAAAGTGGACCTTGACCTAGAGACAAACAGGATATGGAATTTGTTGATGGGTAAGAAGGGAAGCGAAGCTGACGAAGGATTAGACAAGGAAAAGGAGAAGTGGTGGGAGGAAGAAAGGAGAGTTTTCCGGGGACGAGCTGATTCGTTCATTGCCAGAATGCATCTTGTACAAGGTACGCTACCTGATACTTTTACTCAAAAATTTAAAGATTCACTTTATTTCTTTTAGAAGTGTAATCATCTCAACAAAATGTACTTATCATGTGATTGTCTAGCTAATTAAAATAATGACCACAATAGTCGCGATGATGAACATGTCTTAACTGGTCAATGCTGTTGCATTTCTTGTGGCAATTATTACCACAACATACATAAGATTTTTTTTTTTGAAGAAAAAGTTAGAAATTCAAAAAGCACCAAGTGGTTGTAACTCATATACAAAAGTATTTATATATCTAACAAAATGCCTATAAAATCCTTCAAATCCTTGCTAAAATACAATACCTATAAAAAAAACTTGGGGATTGAGCCCATGAGTCTTTAAATCTATCAAAATTAGATTTTATACTATTAAAATTCTCCTATTCCTCTCTTTCCAAATTGCCCAAAAGGTAGCCAAAGGGATAAGCTTAGCAGGTTGCTCTGAATGTCTTTTCACATCCAAAGCTCTCCCACCCCATCCCTCTCACCCTGCCAACCATAACCCAGCTCAAACCCAATAAAGGATAAACCAAAATTGAAGGGAGTGTGCATACAAGCACCAAAAGGGAACTTATCACAACCTCCCTCTCTTTTCATCAAATGCAAGTAATACGACTTGACAGATAAAAGGAGAATGATGATCTGCAAAAGGAAAAATGTGACCAACAACAAATTGCAGACACTTGTTAATTTAAATTCATTAGCATTAATAAAGGCACGAGCGTGGTGCATGGGAAGCTTGCTTAATTAAGAGAAATAAAGGCATAAATATTAAAATGACCTCAGACATAATCGACTAATCTATTATATTCTACAGTAACTGAACCTGAATATCACACTGGATATCAGTTCAATATCATTGCAAAATACTCCATTTTATTTCCCTAAAGAAACTTGGTTCCTAAATGAAGAGAGCCGGCATTTTCTAAGTCATAATTAGCAGGTTTTTAGCTTAATACATAAGCATGGACACAAGAAATCTAGTTCCCTATCTATTTTTCCAATTACTCATTGAAGAAGCCAAATTGTACTAACAAAAAGTTCTAACGACTCTTCACAGGAGATAGGCGCTTCTCACAGTGGAAGGGCTCAGTTGTAGATTCAGTTATCGGAGTTTTCCTCACTCAGAATGTTTCCGATCACCTATCAAGGTAAAATATGGTTTTAAGATTATTTTGAAGATATTGAAATTGAAATTTGAAGTAAGCTAATATTTCTGACTTTCCTATCATGCAGCTCTGCTTTCATGTCTCTAGCTGCACAGTTTCCTCCGAAATCAGGGTGCCATGTAAGACATGAGTTGGATAGAACGAGTGTACTGATTGAACCAGAAGTCTGTGTACTGAATCCAAATGACACCATCACATGGCAAGAAAAGATAGTAAATCGTCCACCAGACAAACAAAGTTCTACAATTAATGGATCGCACCTAGGAATAGAAAGAACAATCATAGTAGAGACATATAGTCAGAGCCTGGAGGAACAATTTCTATCATCACCAGATTCTTTTGATTCTTTAATTGTCCAACCCTATGGAGGAATAAGATCATACTCAGGTTCCAATTCTGATGCAGAACATCCTACTACTGGAACCAAAGAAACCAACATTCCTGGTTCAGGAAAATTTTCACAGAGTGCCATCTCATTTGATGAATTTTTTACTCAGGTTAATGGGAGCCCACTATTTCATAGAGGAACCATGCATGGGCACTTGCAGATAGATATGGAGAATAACCAGCAAAAGCCAAGAACAAATAGAACTGAGAACTTCAAGAGCTCCACATTTACTCAGCCAACCAACTTTAATATTTCAGAATTGCAGATGCCAGCCACTCCTAGTAAGTTTCAGCTGGACGCAATTTCACAGCCCCAAGTAATTGAAATAGACAGTTCGGAAACAGCTAGTGAAGAGCAAACATGGTCTTGGCCTGCAATTGCTTCTGGACTGGATAAAGGAAAAGATGCCAATGACTTATACAGAAGTATTAGACAAACAACTAATGTGAAAATGTTGGCCCAAGACAATGAAATACCAAGATTTCAAGATGTATCAGAAGCGGACTCATGGGCATTATCAAGAAAGGAAAACACCTCACAACCTGGATCTTGCACTACATATGATCAAGTCTGCAATGGTCATCAAAATCAGATGAAGACTTTCCAACCACAGGAGACACCGGTTGTAAAGCTTGTTAATCGTCCAGAAACATTTGAAGAGAGTAGAAGCAGTACCATGAAGCATATGTTTAATGCACCTGAACTCATGAAGAGAACTGATGCTGATAAGGGAATCAATCTGGCAAATAAACAGAAATTCTTGGACAACAAATTGGTTGAATCAAATTCACCAGTGAAGGCATATGATGAGACAAATACCAGTGTTTCAAAAGCAAAAAAAGGAAAGGCTGAGGTTGACAAAAATAATGCAATTGAATGGGATAATCTAAGAAGGCAGGTGCAGGCTAATGGTAGGAAAAAGGAACGAAGCACAGACACAATGGACTCACTAGATTATGAAGCATTGCGTTATGCTGATGTTAATGAGATTTCTAAAGCTATTAGGGACAGGGGAATGAACAACATGCTAGCAGAACGAATAAAGGTGTGTAAAAATCAATCCCAGAAGCGCTGTAAGTTACTCAGATCAGTTTCAAATGACAATAAGAATAGTCATCAGAACAAAATAAAGATTACTTTAGAGGATCAAGTGATTAGAAATTTTAAAATGATTGTGCAATATTGCAGGAATTCTTGAACCGCCTTGTTAGAGATCATGGAAGCATGGATCTTGAATGGTTAAGAGACGTCCCCCCAGACAAAGCGAAGTAAGATATCTGAACTATATTTTGGAAGAAAACTAACTAAAGAGTAAAACTAAGTATAAGGAATTGAACTGCATACGAGGAATGTAGATATGATTGATTTTCCGGGAAAAAAAAATTGTTTGTGCTGCAGGGATTATCTCTTAAGTATACGAGGATTGGGATTGAAAAGTGTGGAGTGTGTGCGCCTCTTAACACTTCATCATCTTGCTTTTCCGGTAAGTTTTATAGAACTGCTGTGCAGTAAAAAGGAAACTGTATTTTATAATCAAATATCACATTTATGTTACCATGAAGGTGGATACAAATGTTGGACGGATAGCTGTTAGACTGGGATGGGTCCCTCTCCAACCATTGCCAGAATCACTTCACATACACCTCTTAGAACTGTAAGTATAAATGTTCATTAATAAAACTGAAAGTCTTCATTCCTCGAAACCAATGATTTTCTTTTGCAGGTACCCAGTGCTGGAGTCTGTTCAAAAATATCTTTGGCCAAGATTGTGTAAACTTGACCAGCGAACACTGTAAACCCATAACTCTTTTAAACAAATATGTACTAGAAGCAGTACTGTTAGGATATTGCTATTACATTCCATGTGCAGTCATATAAACTAATGTACTGTCCTTAACTATAGGTATGAACTACATTACCAGCTGATTACATTTGGAAAGGTATGTAATAACACATCTTTGGCATCCGCTAATGCAACTCTTGAAGACATCTAGAATTAGCCATGCAAGAAGCATCGGTGTCTCTCATGCCTCAACATTTATGCAGGTCTTTTGCACAAAGAATAAACCAAACTGCAATGCGTGCCCAATGAGAGGAGAATGCAGACACTTTGCAAGTGCTTTTGCAAGGTCAGTATTTCAATGAACATCCAGCTAACTCAAAGAACCCTTAAATATCAAGGCATGACATCTGTACCTTCATTAATTAAATGAGGTCTCCAAATTAGACGCCCAAACTAGCAGCATAGGATTAATTGACAAGGAATCAATTGTTTATGGGTAACTATACCATTTGAAGAGTGTCGTAGATGGGCTGAGGCTAGGCTCCAACCTTTGCACCCTATTTTCCTTACAAAAGTTCATATAAACATTCTAACCAGAAAGAAGTAGCATTAAGTGATACTGGCCTAAAAGACACGATGGTCCAAGTTTATAACCTTGTTCAATCTTTTCTGGGGACCCTTATATTTGACAATGCAGTATGACAACCACTCAGCAATATGAAGAAAAATGAAATGGAAACAAGTTCTAAAAGCTGATATGCTGAAGTTAGAGGAGGCATTAGAGAAGTGGCAAGAAATCAAACTAGAAGAGAAACTAATATTTTTGTCTGATACACACCTGTTTTCTGATGGATGAACTGTATTTCTCAATGGAATCAAAGACTTACTTTGTTGCATGCAGTGCAAGACTCGCACTACCTGGACCAGAAGAGAAGAGTATAACAAGTGCAACTGTTCCCATTATACCAGACAATAGACCCTTCATGGTTACAAATCTGATGCGACTTCCTCAACCAGAGAAGAATTTACTGACAGCAAGGCATGCTGATGGAAAGTGTGAACCTATAATTGAAGAACCAGCAACACCAGAACAAGAATGCCTGGACGTATTAGAAAGTGACATTGAAGATTTCTTTTGGGAGGATCCAGATGAAATTCCAACAATAAAGCTTAATGTTGAGGCGTTCTCAGCAAATGTACAGCATTATATGCAAGAGAAAATGGAACTCCAAGAAGGTGACATGTCCAAAGCTTTGGTTGCTTTGAATCCCGAAGCCGCTTCCATTCCTACTCCCAAACTGAAGAATGTTAGTCGACTACGGACAGAGCATCAAGTGTAAGTCAATTTCTTCCAAAGTTATTAGGCCAATAAGATGAAAAAAGAATCAGATGTTGTATGGCATCAACTGGATGCACATGTATTTTTATATAGACGCCCTTGAAGGAAAGAGAATATTTAGAGAGAAAGAAAGAGATAAGTGTTTTAAGTAATAATAAAAAAATTAGAAAAGATGAAATGGGAAAACACTAACTGAAGGGAAGTAGCAAATCCTACATGATGCACCCTGAGTCTCTGACACTTGCCTGGTATGATGCAGGTATGAGCTTCCAGATTCACACCCTCTCTTGAAAGAGGTAAGCTCTTCCTTTATTTTCCTAACTATATGGTGTTGCTTAAAATATGAATTGTTGAAACGTTAATAATCATACAGATGGACAGACGAGAACCCGATGATCCTAGTCCATACCTCCTCGCTATATGGAGACCAGGTGAGCATGAACTGCCCCCAGCATTTTCTTTCAAGATAAAAGAACTGGCATCTGCAGCATCCAGGGGTATTGCCAATAAGATGAAAATATTGACACCAAAATCGTAAATTGATATAGTCAAATCAAAATGTGCCAAGATAAGTTTGGGGCCATATTCCTACCCCTAAGACACTTGCTGGTCTACAGCATCAGAAACTGATTATACCTAAACTTTGGTACCAGGTGAAACAGCAGATTCGATTCAACCCCCTGAACAAAGATGTGAGTCTCAAGAAAAAGGCCAACTGTGTGATAAGGAGACATGCTTTCCATGCAACAGCATAAAAGAAGCTGATTCACAAACAGTCAGAGGAACACTTCTGGTGAGAAAAATACATTTAAGAGATTAAAGATTAACAAATAAGCACCAAGGCCTGAAACAACAAACATCTATGTGCTTACTAAAATTTGCATGACCTTCTGTACAGATACCTTGTAGAACAGCAATGAGAGGAAGCTTTCCACTCAATGGGACGTATTTTCAAGTTAATGAGGTAAATACCGCTAAAGTTATCTCTGCAGACTCTCTCAGTTTCAGGGAAGATATGACTTTTTCTTTTTTGATGAGGGAAGAGCGTACTTTGTTGTAATCAAAGGGATAGTAAAGTTTAAATAGTTTCCTACACTTTATCATGCTTGTCACAATTCCACTGAGGATTAAATTCCTCATCAAACAAAATTTTCTGTCAACCAGGTCTTTGCAGATCATGCGTCTAGCCTCAAGCCCATTAATGTTCCAAGAGAGTGGTTATGGAATTTGCCAAGAAGAATGGTGTATTTTGGAACATCTGTAACATCAATATTCAAAGGTAAGAAAACCAAGTTGTATTTCTACGAATGGTAGTTAATTACTTAATATCCCAATTTTGCATTAGAGTAAGTCACTAACCATAAAAGAAAAAAAAATTTCAATTTCCATCAGGACTATCAACAGAGGGTATTCAGTACTGCTTTTGGAAAGGTATGAAATGCTTCCTCAAACTATGCATATTGCCTTATCCACTCTGGTTGAAAGCAAAGGGATAGATAATTCATTAGACAGTGCAAATTGAGGTTGGAAATTTAGATAATCTGCCTATAGATATTACACTTATTTCGAGTTTGTTTCAAATTAGAACTCCATGGACTAGGAATGGGAATATAATAAAAATATGATATAAAATTGAATGAAAATAGTATTATAATTCCAAGTCACTTACATGTCTAATATTAGATGTTCTTGTATTCCTCAACATATCGGTCACTTACATGTCTAATATAAATTAAGTTGATTTAATCATGCATCGAATGCATAAATTATGACTACCTTCTACGTGTATTAAATAACCTAAAAATTTGATAGAAATAGAGTAGGTTTAAACCAAATACAACTTTAAGGTTCTTTAAGTATCATACCTAATGAATGGTTGGAGCTCATTATCACAACTGGTTCCCACAATCACACAGAATTAATCTGCTACCTAAATAGCTGTCTTCATTATGAAACAAAGTACATAATTCCTAAGAAGTAAGGACAGTTGCAGCAACAATCAATTTTGGCTCTCTCAATCACATGGAATCAATCTGCTGAGGAAATCATCTAAACAGCTTCTTCATTGTGAAAGAAACTAGATAGAATTTATACAAAAATAGAACCCTAAGTCTTAGGACTTGAAACCACTCTTAAACACTATGTAAAATCCTAAACTACAGAAATTTTAATAAAATCTCTTACCTATATTATTATAACAAATACTAATTAAAAATTAATAGAATACAAAAACATCTCCAGTTCTAAATCCTAAAGAAATAAGATTTCTTAAAATGTAAGTGATTAATCTTTTTGTTTACCATTTAGAAAAAATTCAGACCTCCAATTTTGAAGAGTGGAAGAAAAAAAATAAAATGACCAGGAAACATTCCTAAATATTTTGCCAACTTCACAGTAATCATCATTATCAAAGTGAATAATGGGACAAATAACTAGAAAAAATTGTGAAAACTTGCAAGGTAAGATGAAATTAAATCTATACTTCAATTTCATCCTTGAATTACATACCTGTAAATCCTCTTTGAGTTAAGCCCTTGAGCAATCCCAAAATCTATGCCAACTATTTTTAGTGGTTCTTGCCGAAAGTTCTTCCACATATTCTTCGAAATCTGGAGCCTCCACCTTCATGATATATCATGAGGTTCAAGATAGTTATTTATGCAGCTTAAAGGTGTTGGGCAACCTTAGCAACATAGCAAGCATCTGAAAAGCCATCAATATCCCTCCAATCTCTAAGAAGCATTTAGAATTCCTCTAATGCATTTACTGAGTGCTCCACAATCTCCGTCATGGTTCTTGGTATTTTCATGACCTCATTGGAGAGTGTCAAACTTTGAATGCAAATTAGCATTAAGCTCCATCTTCAAACTGCTTCCAAAAGGTAGTAGATGGTTAATTTAATAAAATGGACCGTGGAAACAAAGAGAGACAATCAAAACCCTTTCACACTGATCTGAACTGATCATGAACCTATATGGAAGGTTTGAGCCAATCTAGGTAAGTTCAATCTGAGTAAGTTGAACATGTCTGAAGAGCTAAACCCGTCATGTTGACAGACTTGAATGAATCCTATTCGTGGGTGTCACTCATGGGTCTCTAATAAGGCCAATATTCAAGTTTATGACCCTTCACTCTTCAGCCTTCAAGTCATTGTACTTTAGTCTTTCCCTCTGTAACTGATCTTTCTTTCAATCTCAAAATTGTCAGCAACCCAAAAGCCATTGTAGTCCAACATCTTCTCTTTTGATCTCTAAATTTTAGAACTCCTGGAGTCCAATTTCTACTCCTAGTATATCTCAGCGAAACAAATAGCATTCTCCCTATTCACTCTAAAGCCCCACTATAGCTCAATTTCTTTCCCTTACATTCGGTTCTGCCATCTCAACATCTTCTCTTTTGCACTCCAAATTCTAGAACTTCTGGGTCCTATTCTACTCCTAGTTTATCCCCAACAAAACAAGTAACATTCTCCCTGTTCACTCTAAGTCCCACTGTAGCTCAGTTCTTTCCTTTAAGTTCAGTTCTTCCATCTCAAACCTAATTCAAGAACCAAAGTGGATCAAGACAATTTTGAATTGCAAGCCAGATAAAATTATCAGCATGCATATCAGTGGGAGTCTGATTACAGCACTTGCATGATTGGTGCTGCACCTAATCCTATAGGTCAGAACATCAATCTTATTAATAAATATAGCACAAAAATCTTCTTAATCACCAGTATGGTAATCATTCTTATGCTTCTCATCTCCTTAAATATTTGCTTTAGGTTTTGTAAGATCCATCGACAAATAAATATCGATAATGACCCATATTTCACAACAATTACATACAGATGATTAATGAACATTCCGTTCCTGTTGGATCTTGAACAGCATATTTTAAATTAAACATCATAAAACCATCATTCTTTTGCCTTTTTTTTGAAGTAAAAAGTATGTAGAATACATTAGCCTGGTAACAAAAAGGAAGTACCACCCATGTATAAAAAATTTACAATAGTGTTAAAATATCTATAACGTTCCCAAAATTCTCATCACTAATAATATCATTACTTAACAAAATAGATCTAAAATATAAGTAATTTACCTATCTCTTATTTTGTACACACTACTCTCGACACCATCAAAAACTCTAGAATTTTTTTCTTTCCAAAGAACCCAAAAAACAGTCAATGGAATTAAGTTAGCAATATTACCTTTTACATATAAACCATCCCAAGCCCAAATTTCCATACCAACCAATCCAGCCATCACTCATTCAATCCTCAAAAGATCATACACCATACACCAAAGATTGTAGGCTATAAGACACCACAACAATAAGTGATTACACGTCTCCTCCGCCTGAAGACAACCGTAGCATCCATTAACCAAAATCTGTCCTCTAACTCTGAGTTTATCAATAGTTAAGATCTTCTCCCAACATGCCTCCCAAGCAAAAAAGCTTTATGCGGAGGAACCTTGGTTTTCCAAATTTGCATAGCCAGGAAATTTGATCGGGTATTTCCATCCCAAGCACACAGAAACCCTAAGAAGGAACAGAAAATTCCCCCTTTCTTTTCCAATCTCCTAACAGCCTGATTATTGCTTGTTTTCAACTGCTTGTTTTCAACTGCTTGTTTTCAGCCTTTCTAAACATACTCTGATGATATTAGTGACTCTGTTATGGAACTTCCACCAATCAATCCCTGTTTGACATCCATATTATAGGTTATAACAAAGAAACGCAACACCATGCAGAATCACCTTTAACCTTTGCTTGGTGCTTCTCTTTACTGTTCTTCTCAATATTCCTCTTTACATCACGCAAGCACAGTGCTTCAAGTGCAAGTGATTAATCCATGCTGCATAAGTTGTCTCAACAGAATTAATAATCACAGAGCCAAATCTTTGTTTCAAATTCTAGAGTAAACTATGCAAATTTTTTTCCATTTCCAATTTAAATGGACCTAAATTTTAAGATTAAAAAAACATTTACCCACCAATAAAGAAAATCTGTTGGAAAAGACTCATAAGCTGCATACCTAACAACTAGCATGTAATAAGTATGTCTGACTGAAACCTCGATGCCGCGAATGCTATCTATCTATGCAACAAGTATCTGCCATGAAATGAGGTTGATTAGAATTCAATGAAACTTGATTGAATGAGCTTTTTTTCTTTAAAAAAAAGAAAAAGGAAAAAAAAAAGAAAAAAATAATGGGATGACCTCTACACAGAAAAGAAAATTAAGATTATGAACCAGTGGTTTCTTATATTAACAAAAGACACAGACTTTCTCGTAAAATATCTGATTGTTC